CGTCGGGGGGCCCGGCGCCCGCCGCGTTCGCGTTCTCGGCCGCCGGGAGCACCGGCAGGCTGGGCGGAGCCGGCGGCGGCGGCGGCGGCTGCGGGCCGGGGGGCGGGTTCTTCACCAGCAGCAGGCCGTCACCTGGGGAGGAGGACACGGCGGAGAAGTGACACGCGGACAGCGCTCGGTCCGGGCCCCGCGCCCCCGCCGTCCCTGAGAGGGGCCCAGGTCCTTAACCGAGTTCCCCTGCGGCTCCGTGCGAGTCGCAGGCAACCTGGACCTCAGTTTCTCTGAAAAGTGAGGGGACTGAGCAAGACCAGCGGCCATGTTCCCTGGGGCTCTGGGGCTCCTGGACGCTCTGAGCTGCCCCAAGCCACCCGGCGTGGGGGGGGGGGGGAAAGCACCGGGAGTGCGTGGGGCAGGCAGCACGCAGTTCGGAGAGGGAACAGCTCCAGAAAGCAGGGGCAGGGAGGCGGGGATGCGTGTGGGGATGGAGCTATTCGGAAGTCCCGTTGGAAGGGAACTGGCAGGAAATAATAAGACTTAATTGCATTCTGATGTTCAATGCTAATTTATCCAAGGAGAATCTCTCCACTGGGGGGGGGAAAGAATGTACCAGAACGTATCCAAGGTGAAAGCCAGACAGGAGGCCCACAGACCAACACCATGCTGCCATTTTCAGTCAGGTTTCCTCTAAGCAAGTGGCCTTCAGACCTGAACAGCAGCATGGTCCCGGGCCCACCCTGGAGTCTGACCCCATCTGCACCCTGACCACACGGGACCGGGGCTCTCTCCACCCCGGTGTGGAGGCAGCTGCCCCGTCAGCCTCCAAAGAAAGCGCTGTTGTGGCGCACACACTGCGGCCTTTTCCTCGGACCCTCGGGTCGTCCGCTACCTTGGTGGTCGGCGGGGCACCCAGTCCAGGCTCTGAGCAGCAGAGCAGCGTGCCAGGCCCAGCCCTCCAGACTTCTGCTTGAAGAACTCCTTTGTGTGCCCACTGTATTTAGGGGTCTTCTTACTCCTTCACCCACCCACCCCCACCTCAGGTGCCCATTCACAGTCCTCTCTCCCTGGAGGAGACCCTCCTCCACTGAGGGGCAGCTGGTGGAAGAATCTTTGTTCCTACCCCTGTTGGCATCCTCGGCCCAGGTCCCTTCTGCTCCCTGGAGGCCATTTCTCAGGCCACATCTACCATGCTCCGACCCCCTCCTCCCCCATGCGCATCAGTGTCTGACTGAGGCCCCTCCTCCTTACGCGACACCCCTAAGCACAGGGGGCCCAGCCTGCCCTCTCCATCCCCATCAAAACTGAGCAAGCAGAGAGCCCCCTCCACAGGACAGGGGTCAGCAGCCGAGACTGAAGTAACTCTCCTGGCCTCGATCCCGAGTGCCAGGCCTTCAGTCCTGGGGGACTGACTGTGGGCCTTGTCTGTCCCTCCACACAATCTGCTACTCTCACTCCTTCATAGGTGTTATTCTCAAGAGGACCCCAAGGAAACCACAAACATAGGAGCCCCCATCTCAGGGGCTGTTTCCCGGGAAACCCAGCCTGAAACAGTCCTAATCCTACCCTGATAACTCTTCAGACTCCGTGTGCGCGTCAATCCGCTTTTCTCACCCTTTGATCTCCCCTCCTGACCCAGTGTGGCTCCCGTGGTCAGCACTGGGGTCACTTGCCATGAAACGCCCTTTATGCCTCTGTTCCTCTCCTCTCCTCTGCCCTGCTTGCCTGGGGACCCCCAACCATGCTCAAGCAGCTGAAGACAGCTAGAAAAAATTGCACAAATCTCAAAAGCACCCCCTCCCCACCAGTGAGGTACCCTACTACACTTCTCAGTGTGCCCTACTTTTCCATCCTTTGCAAGAATGTCGTCACACCTTCTCCTTCAGCCTCTAAAGTGAGCACTTTTACTCTGGACCTAACTGGCCGGGAACTGATTCAGACAGAAGCACAGGACCTCGTTCTGGCTGATGACATTGAGGAGGAGGCTTCTGGGAGTCTCCTCACTCCTTAGAGTGCAGGAAGGATGGCCCTTCCTTTCTCTCTGGTCTGGAGGTGATTGCTTAGAACAGCTGCTGCCATCTTGCTCCAGCCACACCAAGGAAGCGGAGCCGAGAGCTGGAAAGAACCTGGGTCCCGGATGATGTAGCCCCATCCTTGCATCAACTGAGGCTGAAATTGAACTGCTTCTTAGTTCTATAGGAGAAGACAGGTCTTTGTTCCTCAAGGCAGTGTGAATCAGGGTTCTACAGCTAATGGGAGAGCAGCCTACTAGACAGAGGTCCAGTTATCCCCCAACTTAAAAAGCACACTCTCGCTGGACTCCATGTGCTCCCAGGCTCCAGCTAGAGTCTCACCTCATCTCTGACCTCATCTCTGTTCCTTTTCATACCAATATTCCTGGTGAGTACTCTACCCTTGCTTTTACCGTTTGCTTTCAAACTCTGACAGTCAGGCATGTGTCCTAGCACACCACCAAAACAACTTTTGCCAACAACCTCCAACCTGCCAAATCAATCCACCTGCCTCTTCCCAATCCGGCATATTCAACCCCTCCTTGTGTTTGAGCTAGTTGGCCCCTCCCTCTCTCTCGAGAGTCTCTTCTCTTAGCCTGGGTGATGCCCTTGCTCCTCTGGATTTCCTCCAGCCTCACACCTGGGCCTCTTTCATTCTTTGTCTACATTCTCCCTAGATCTCAGAGAAGCCCCAGCCTTAAAAGAGCCTCTGTGTAATTATTTAGCAGACCTTTGTCCTTGGTTCCTAGGAGGTAGCCTCTAAATCCTTGGAATTTCCAGGGTGATAGGAGTGTCTTTGTTATTCGTGGTAGGCTCTGATGTTTTATGCTGACGGGGGTAATTCACGGTAAGTGCCTCAACAGTTTAAGCTAACTAAACAGTTTAAGCTAACGGGGAGGACTCAGGATGGGGGCTGGGTATGCCAGAAAGACCATCCACAGACAGGATTAGAGGGTTGGGCCTTTGAGCCCAACCTCTGGAGAGGGGACAGGCTAGAGAATGAGTTCACCTCATGGCCAGTAAGTAGTTCAATCAATCATAAGTATATAAAGAAACTCCAGTACAAACTCTGGACACAGAAGCTTGGGTGCGCTTCTCTAATGGGCACTACTCTGTGTATTGTCACACATCACTGTGCTGGGACAGTGACACTCCTGATCCCACAGGGAACAGACAACAGAAGCTCTGTGTTTAGGACCCTTCTAGAATTGGTCCTATGGATCTCTCCCTTTGGCAGGGTCTGATTTGAATCCTTTTGCTCTAATAAAACTAATTCTAAGTATAGTAGCTTTCCTGAGCCCTGTGAGCTGTTCTAGTCAACTGCTGAACCTCAGGGGTTAATAAGAACCCCTGGATTTGTGGCCAGCCAGTTAGGAGTGAGTGGGCTGGGGACCCTCGAACTTGCAGCTGGGTGTAAATAAGAGCAGTCTTGTGGAGGAGGGCCCTTCACCTATAAAGTTTGGTCTAATTCCAGGTAGTTGCAATGAGAAGTCGTTGCAAGCTACAACCCCCAAATTCACGTAGCCCCGAGCCCTTCCTTGAACTTCAGACCCTGCTACGTTCATCTGCCTACCTGATACCATCTCAGATCGAACAGGCCCAATGTAGAGCACTGGGTTTACACAGTAAACTGGCTCTTTCCCAGGACTCACCATTTCAGTAAAGGGCGCCGTTGCTCTCCTGGTTCTTCAGGGCCCAACCCTGGGTGTCACTCTTGACTGCTCGCCCACCACACACAATCCCTCAGCAACACGTCCAGAGTCTGTCCTGAATCCAGTCCACTTCTCTCCCTGCGCACTGACCCCATCCCAACTCTGACCAATGGTCATCTCTTCACCTGCTCTGTACCAACCACTTTAGCTTCCTAAAAGGCTTCCCTGCTTCTGGCTCATGGTTCCCCCTGCACTGCAGTCCGTTCCTGAACTTATCTTCTTAAAATGTAAACTAGGGGGCACCTGGGTGGCTCAGGTGGTTCAGCGTCTGACTCTTGATTTTGGATCAAGTCATGATCTTGGGGTCCTGGGATTGAGTCCCAGTCAGGCTCCCTGCTCAGTGGGGAGATTGCTTCTCCCTCTCCCTCTGCCCCTCCCCCCTGCGCTCTCTCTCTCTCTCTCTCTCTCTCTAATAAATAAATAAAATCTTAAAAAAAAAACACATTCTTTAATATACAATTGAGGAATCCCTTTTACTAAAATATAACTTCCAATTAGGCTGAAGTCAAATAGGACACCAGGTCTTTCTTGCATACCCCTGGGGCTGGGGAAAGGAGTCTGGCAGGGACAGATACCCTATAGTTCTGTTTTACTCTCTACACCCACTACCCTCTCTCCTTCCAGCTCCTCTCCAGAAGACATGATTCCATGTCTTTAAACTTCAAAGAAATCACAGGTGAGATCCTAATTTCAACATTAACAAGTGGAAGGCAGGCCCACTTCGGGAGAAAGTCAAGAGGCTCTGGTGACTGGGCCTGTAGGAGGAGCATTTCCAGATGCTTCTGTCACCCAAACTCTGGGCACTGCCTCCCCAATGCTAAGGTTCGAAGGCCTCCCAGAGATAAAACATGAAGCAAATTATTCTATGACTCGGTGTATCCAAATTGAGGAGGTAAAATGATCTGGTCACTTGCAAAGTCTTGCAACCTCTGCACGGACTTCCCTAGATCCGTCCCCACAACCGCACAGGTCTCCAGGAAAAGGCTTGTCCAGGGCCACGTACTCCTAGCCGACTTGGAAAAATCAGACGGTAGCATCGAGGGACAAAGGTTTGGGCAGAATTCCTGGCATGAGGTTGGATGAACTAGTACGTATGCCTTCAAGGCCAGAAATAGTGGCCTGAGCACCGTCAAGAAAGAAGTGGAAATTGCTGGCACTTCTTCCCGTCCTCACAGACAGTGGCCTGGCTTCCCCTGTCCCATCCCCACCCCAGCAGCAGGTCAGAAGAGGAACCACTTTAAGTTCTGTTTGAAACAAGGGCATACTGCTCCTTGCCCACTCCGCCAGCCCCGGCCTGCCCTTCCAGACTGGACTAAATTTGTCTCAGACACTGGGATCCACTTACCTGACTTTTAAATGGCTTTCCAGATCAGAAATAATCTATGTCCTCAGCTCTGCCCTGGACTTTAAGCTCCCGGCGGGTGTCAGGAGTGTGCACAAGGAATATATTGTTTAGCTGTTCCTTCAACACTCTGACCAGCAGACGCTAAGTCAGCTGTCTTGAGAACAAGGAGATGGTAGTGGGTCTGGCAAGGAATGCCAGCCAGACGCTAAGTGTTAAATAATCCACAAACATATGCTTAAGGTCCCTGGCCAATAAGTGGAACTTCAAAAGAAGACCCAGGAGACCCAAGTCAGGTGAGACATTTGGTCCCATACCTGTTGTGGGTAAACAAAACAAAACAAAACCCCTCTCCCTAGCTGAGCTTCAGTAGCTTTACCAGTTACTGTGGGGTGCCCGCTCAGGGCTGGCTTGGGACTCCGGCCAGTGTTTTCTGGTACGTGAGCCACTACCACCATTACCTCTTGCTCAGGTACCAGTGGGTCAGCCCCCTCCCAGCCCACCCTCCTTTCCTTCCTCTTAGGGGCTGAACGACGTCCCGTGGAAAGACATGTTGAAATCCAAACCCCCAGGACCACAGAAAGTGACCTTATTTGGAAATGGGCTCTTCGCAGAGGTAATTAGTTAAGATGGGGTCAGACTGGACGAGGGTAGGCCCTGAAGACAGCCAGGTGAAGACAAAGACACGCAGGCAGAATACCACGGGGGACAAAGGTAGAGACGGAGCGACGCACCTACAAGCCAAGGGAATGCTAACCCTTGCTACAAAGACCAGAAGCTAGGGATAGGCAAGAAAGGGTTCCCCTATGGCTTTCAGAGAGGGCATGCCCCGGCTGACCCCTTGACTTTGGACTTCTGGTCTCCAGAACCGGAAGAGACAACACATTTCTGTTGTTTTAAGCCACCCAGTTTGTGGTACTTTGTTAAGTCAGCCCTAGGACAGAAATACACCGGCCATCCTCCAAAAGGAAAGGGGACAGTGCTCTGATACAGACGGGCGAAAGGCTGGCATGACAGAACATCACCTATGGGGGGTGGCGGGAGGCGGAGGCAAGGAACCATCCCCATGGACGAAAGACCAGGGGCCCCAGGGGGGCACGTTACTCACTGGGGCCAGAATCTAATCCGAGCTCTCCTTCCATTGAGTCGCGAGAGCCCCATGGGTACGGCTGTTCCTCCTGCTTGATCCATGACAGAATGTCGTGCGCTGAGATCAGAGACTCTGTTGATGGGAAGAAGGCAGTCTGAGATGCTGTTCACGTCCACTGAGCCTCCCATCAGAGGTTGGAGAACCATCACGTGCAGAGGTCCCTGCTGGCAGGGCACGTGGCGGTAGAGGTCTCAAGTTTCTCACTGGCCGTTCTCACCCTCCCTGCCCTCAGACGTGGCATCTTGCTTGTGCTACATGGGGAGCCGGCCAGGGAGGAGGCGGCCTGACCCAGTGTCTGTGCAGACGCACAACCGAGATCGGAACCTGCGTCTCCCAGCTCTGTCCACGGAGCCCCAGAGCAAACTCTGGGGCCAGAACAGGCCAGAGGGCAGCCTGCTGTCTGACGGCCCGCAGGACCAAGGGCTGAGTGGTAGGACTTCAGAACCAGCCTCCAGAGAAGCAGTGAACAAAGGAATCGAGAGAGGTGTAGACTGCTGACTCTACCAGGAAGGGTTGGCTGCCCCTCCTGGCCTGGACCCCTTCAGTTTCTCCACTGTGAAGTTGCAGGGTTTAAACAACAAGGAATGCTAGATTTGATGTCTGATCTTCTCTTCCTGGTATGTGGGGGAGGATGTGACTATGGGTCATAACCAAACAAGAGGACACTGCACTTCCCCAGCTGTGCAAGCACACACGTGCGTGCGTACACACCCACACACACACACACACGTGCACACACGCGCACACACATGTGTGTGCAGGCCCCAGACGGGTGGAGCTTCTTTAATGTTCTATATGCCTGGACCCTACCCAGAAGTTTCTTGGAAGACATTTAACTAGTGTTCACCCACGAAAACTTGCAGAAAATGTAAATTTCTTTCTTTCTGTCACAGAAATATACCCAACTTTTAAAAGCCTTTCTGGTTATACTTACTGTTCAAAACTGTCGTTGCAGAAATAATTTTAGTATCAGTTACGTTGACACAATAAATTAACAATTTAATGATTCATTTAAAAAAGTCCTCTGTTGGGGCGCCTGGGTGGCTCAGTCGTTAAGCGTCTGCCTTCGGCTCAGGTCATGGTCCCAGGGTCCTGGGATCGAGCCCCGCATCGGGCTCTCCCTGCTCAGGCAGGAAGCCTGCTTCTCCCTCTCCCACTCCCCCTGCTTGTGTTCCTGCTCTCACTATTTCTCTCTCTGTCAAATAAATAAAATTAAAAAAAAAAAAAAGTCCTCTGTACTTTATGAATGGTTATATTCTAAAATCTGTACGAAGTTGCTAACTGAAGAACATGCTGTTTTGTTTTTTTTTTTAAGATTTTATTTATTTATTTGACAGAGACACAGCGAGAGAGGCAACACAAGCAGGGGGAGCGGGAGAGGGAGAAGCAGGCTTCCCGCCGAGCAGGGAGCCTGATGCGGGGCTCGATCCCAGGACCCTGGGACCATGACCTGAGCCGAAGGCAGACGCTTAACGACTGCGCCACCCAGGCGCCCCAAACATGCTGTATTTTATTCTCTGAGCCTTTCATTGGCCTTTAACCAAAAGTGATCAGATTGATTTCCCTGCATACAAAGTTGAGTAAGAGTCTCCTTGTCTTTGATATTCATCCTGGTATCTTGCTCACCTGAATTGGGGTCCGTTGGAATATCTCTTTCTGCCAGATCCTGCTGATCCCATACGCATGGGTGCTCCTCCTGTTTAATCCGGGATAAGAGGTCCTGGGCAGAGGCCGGGGAGTCTGTGGGAAAAGAGCAACGGAGGCGTCAGGGGACATGAAATGCCTGCAAGTTTGTGTGCTGAGTAAATCTCTCATTTCCTGCAATTATTTCTTTTCCCTAAAATTCAGGCATAATTAAAGTATGCTAATTAATTAAAGGTTTAAGCAGGCTTGGCCTCAATTAATGGAGCTTTTCTGCAAATAAGGGTATACTATACGGGAGCGTCACTCACTGTGACTTCGAGAGAGTCTTTCTGTGCTTTGGGAACTTCAGTCCTTAGACTGAGACTCAGCTTGAGTACAGAGCACCACCATGGACAGAGGTATTCTTAAGGGGATTTTCCAGAACAGGCTGCCTTCCATGAAGCCATTTAGATCTACCACTTTATTGGGATTTTTCTTTTTCTTTTTAGATTTATGTATTTATTTTAGGGAGATAGAGAGAGACAGACAGACAATGAGCACATGAGCAGGAGGAGGGGGAGAGGGAGAGGGAGGGAATCTCAAGCAGACTCTGTGCTGAGCAGAGAGCCCCACGCGGGGCTCAATCTCACGACCCTCAGGTCATGACCTGAGCCAAAACCAAGAGTTGGACGCTTAACTGACTGCACCAGCCAGGCGCCCCTTATTGGGCTTTTTCTAAGGTGTATGCTACGTTTTTCCTCTGCGGTCTGTTAAAACTCATTTAACTTTATTGCCTTTTTTTTTTTTTTATATTTTATTCATGTATTTGACAGAGAGACACAGCGAGAGCAGGAACACAAGCAGGGGGAGAGGGAGAGGGAGAAGCAGGCTTCCCGCCGAGCAAGGAGCCCGATGCAGAGCTCGATCCCAGGACCCCGGGATCATGACCTGAGCCGGAGGCAGACGCTTAATGACTGAGCCACCCAGGTGCCCCAACTTTATTGCCTTCTTATCTCTTACAGATTTCTTTGAAGATATTAATACTAGCTTTGCACAGTGGCAGTATCGTAGCCAATGAGGTTTATTCGAGGCGTGATTATTGTTAATTGAAGATATTAATACTGTGCCGCCGTCCAGGAGCATGCTTGATGGAAAGGGACCAGCCTTTCCCCCACTCAGATGCTGCTATCACTTACCTGGGAGTGTGAGGCTCTGACTAAGGGGTGGCTAAGGTTTGTGGAGCTCTAACCTGTGGCTAAGTATGTTACTAGATCTTGTGATGGGTAATTCTGTGACAGCCAGGCCACAGTACACACATAGTTGGCCAGACATTATTCTATTTTTTTTTTAAGATTTTATTTATTTATTTGTCAGAAAGCGAGAGATCACAAGCGGGGAAAGCAGCAGGCAGAGGGAGAAGGAGAAGTAGGCTTCCTGCTGAGCAGGGATGTGCGGTTCGATCCCAGGACCCTGGGATCATGACCTGAGCTGAAGGCAGATGCTTAACCGACTGAGCCACCCAGGCGCCCCCACACATTATTCTAGATGTTTCTGTAAACGGATTTTATTTTTTGAGAAGATTTACATTTCAATCAGCAACCCCTGCCTTCCATGATGTGGGTGGGCCTCATTCCAACAGGTGAAGGCTTCCATAGAAAAAAACAGACCACCCCCAAGGAAGAGGGAATCCGGCCAGAAGACTGTGCTGGGTCTGCAGCCTGCAGATTCTGGACATGCCAGCCTCCACAATCACTGAAGGCAGTTCCTTAAAATCAGTCTGTCTGTCTGTCTCTCTCTCCACACACAGATACATACCCATACACACCCTGTGGATCCTCTGGAACACCCTAATACACATATGCTCTCAGAGGCTTCTCACACAGAGTCCAGCTGTAACGTAACCTAAGAGGACCCCTGCCCCGCCCCCGACTACCCCATGGCACAGAGGTAATAACCCATAAATACTTGTTGAAAACAATGAAAGCTCTTCCCAGTCAGGAGCAGGTCCTATGGACTGATATATTCCCCAACCGCAGCACCTCATCATGAAGTTTCTTACACTTAGCACTTCTGCCTGATGCTCCTCTTCAAGGGGAGGAAGGAATAGTTAAAAACTGATATAAAAAGAGAGGTAACAGACAAGCTAAGCCCAGATGTGCTATGTTTGTGCCCTACGGGAAATCCTGTCTCTCTGCCCATTCCAGACCCAACTCTTACATTTCCAGCTCTGGCCTCTGGTCTGCCACACACGACGGATGATGCTGGGGGCCTGCAGACCATGCTGGCCCTTTCCGCTCCCTCCTTGGCTTAGGGCGGCTACTGGGCTCACTCACCAGTAATGGACTCCGTGGGGATGGCTCTTTCCTCCAGGCCCCGCTGACCCCGGACACATAGGGCTTCCTCCCTTTTGACCTGCGAGGATGAATCCTGTGCAGACACCAGGGGCTCTGCTCCTGGGGAGAGAGAAGGATGTCATTTGGTGTTTTTTCTGAACAATCATCACCCAGATGTTCTTGGGGTCAGAAATGCAGCTGACTGCACCTATCAGCACGGGAGCCTCGGGCTCCTGTGGGCAACTGTGGGAAGCAGAAGGTTCTGGGAGCAGAAAAATAATCAGTATTCAGGACAAAGGGGTAGGCCAAACCGCGAGATGAGGTGTAATGAGGCCCGGAGAGAGTTCCAAAAAAACGGCCCAGCCTGGGTTTGGTGCTAATCAGGACAAGGCCAGAAGTTTGACCTCTGTGTACAAGATGTTCATTTTCATTTCTCACCCCAGTCAGAGAGGTGGCCACACACACACACACACACACACACACACACACACACACACACACCATTACCAGCCTTCCGCCTGGCCCCATCCTGGATGAATAATGCAGCGTCCTCACACATACAGGACAATGATATATCCTCTCTGTAGACCCCAAGATGTGACAAACAGGGTGTATCCTTCTGATGTTCTGTGGTGCGACGTACTAGCCCTGAGAGCAGGCGGCTCAGGTGGCCGGGGGGGATCAGAGGAGGAACCGGAAGACTTGGCTCCTGGTTTCCACTGTGCCCCCAGCCCAGCAGGTGAGGCAGCCGACCTCTCTGGCTCTCGGCCTGCTCGCTCCACCCACAACACGGGCACAGTGGTCACTGTGCCAGTGCACGCACAGGGATGGATGACAACTAGGTGACACTGCTGAGGTCCAGGGCCGTAAGCGTGAAGGGCTGCCCCAGCTGCTGACCTCAGCCCCTGCAGGGCTTGAAGAGGGGGAGCAGGCCGCCAGATGAACTGTCCACAAAGGGCAAATGCACAGAGACAGAGTTGATCAGTGCTGGCTGGGGGCCGGGGGCTGGGGGGTGTGGGAGTGACTGCTCACGGGTCCGGGATTTCCCGCGATGAAGACGTTCTGGAATTAGATCATGGTGATGGCTGCACAACTTTGTGAACCCCCGAATTATACACTTTAAAAGGGTGACTTTATTTATGGCATATGAATTATATTCCAATAAACAGAACAAACTGGAAAGGAAGGGGCTGCCTCTGAGTGACCTTCTAAAGGAACTTCCAGAAGTGGGGCGCCTGGGTGGCTCAGTCGTTAAGCGTCTGCCTTCGGCTCAGGTCACGGTCCCAGGGTCCTGGGATTGAGCCCCGCATCGGGCTCCCGGAGCCTGCTTCTCCCTCTCACCCTCCCCCTGCTTGTGTTCCCTCTCTCGCTGTGTCTCTGTCAAATAAATAAAAAATAAAAAATCTTAAAAAAAAAAAAAAAGGAACCTCCTGAAGAAGGGCAGAGTTTGTATGATAAGGCAGAGAACACAGTTCAGGCTCGGCTGCACCAAGGGCAGCACCACTCAGGAGAGCTGAGGGCCTGACGAAAGGCCTCCGGGGCACAGCCAGGACTATAGCCCTGGAACCTTCCATCCCAGCGAGAGCTGACCAGGGGCAGCGCTGTCAGGAACTACATCTCCTCGGCTCCTCTCCTGCCCTGCCCTGGACCTGGGGCTCTTTTCAGCTACCATCACCTGTGTCTGGATCCATTAGGATTTCTCTCTCTTCTGGGTCACGCTGCTCCCACACGCAAGGCTCTTCCCTGGGCTCCACCTGGGATGGAGCATCTGGCTTGGGCACTGCACCCTCCGTGTCTGGAATGAGTTGGAGGGGAAGGAAGGACACACAATGAAGTTGACCAACGGATCCAGATCAAGGGCAGCCGCAGAAGTCTCCCCAACCCAAGACCCCCTCCCCAGCAGAGAGCCCCTCTCGGTGGTCGCTGATACCTATGTCAGCTCATCTCTTAGAAGGAACCCTGAAAACAAGCCAACAGATCCCCAATTTCCAGTGTAGAAATAGCGGGACTCCGAAAGCCAACAGCAGACAGACTGTGGCTCATCCATGGGGAGGTAGCATATAGTCACATGCCAATGATGCAGTCTGGCCGTATTGCGGAACAAAAGCAGTGCGGAGCTCAATGCTATAGTGACAGGCCCTGTCCGTTCCTGGCTTTCTAACTGTCATCTTGTTATACTCATTCTATCTTTATAGTGTTATGAGCAGGTAGTTACCTGCGTTTCCATTAGGGATGAACACAAACACTTTGCTGGGGCTGATAAGCGTTTTACTGCCCTCTGCGCAGACTGCTTGCCCTGGAGGAGGGAAGGGGCTCTTACCCAGGGACATCAGGGTTTTATAGTTCTCCTTAACAAGGTTGTTGTAAAGCTCCTTCTGCCATTCGTCCAAGTTCTTCCACTCATCCTCAGAGAAGTAAACAGCGATGTCGACAAACGTCACGGGAACCTTGGCCAAGAAGAGTTTTAGTCTGACACCTGCTTGCTTCTCCCCACAGCCTCCCCTCCGTCGGCCACAGGGCCCCTTCTACCCTAGAGCCTGCTTCTGCTTGCCATGGCTCCCCATCCCCCAAATCCCAGCCCAGTCCACAGGAGTGGAGTCAGCCCACTCTATTCCTGATCTTCTCGTGCTCCCCAAACAAGGATGGTCAACACTAACTTTTTTTTTTTTTTTTTAACGCATTTAAGCATATCCTCTGTAATTCCATGTTTAGGGAACCTGGGTCCCTGAAGGTAAAGCCAATGTCAATGTGCTGCTTTCGGCACTCAGGGTGACAGAGGTGTGGAAGGTTCTCCAAGAGGGGATCAGTGAGCCGAGTACAGTAAAACCCTGTTACAAAACCTGTCTTTCCAGTCAGGTTACCTCCGTAAGGTACACAGTTACATTTCTGTCATTAAAACATGTAAATCTAAGGGCATGCGCTAGAGCTCCAGGGTCTTGATCTGTTTCGTTCAGTGCTATATCCCAAGCATCTAGAAGCACAGAGTCTGGAGCCAGTAAATATTTGTTGAATACGATGAGTGGCTGGCTGTTGCCAATACTAGAAAGTTCCACCGCAGCCTGAGTCATCCATCCCAGATGCCGGGCCCCTGTTATTCTAGGTGGTCTCGTCTGTTCTATAAAACTATTACTTCGGTTTGACAACGGTCCTCGTCGGGACTCATCTCGGATGCTCAGCAGCATGGCCTGGCCTTGGCCCACATCGTTCAGAACTGTTTCACTTCATGACTTTAACGTCTGGACTTCCCTTCTCGGACACCCAGCCCTGCCCCCGCCCACCCCCCACTCTCACACCCACGGGACCAGCCTTCCACTCGCACTCAGAAATCCAACCCCTCCCTTCTCCCCGGCCCTAATCTGAGTCCACTGGTCTTCGCACCTGCACACAGGGCCAAAGGCAGCCTATGTGGCACCTCCGTACCCATTAGGAAAACGACCAGCCCTCTGCGCTCCAGGCTCACTGGTGTCCAGCTCGGTGAGTGCGCAGTGCCTTTACACAAATTAGAAATACCTGCTCTCACATCAGCTGCTCATGACCCTGCGGGTATCCTGTGCAGGTGTGGTGTGCGCAACTGTATGTCACCCACTGACTGAGAGCTCACCCACCACTCATCTTTAGAGACAGAACAGAACTTTTAATTTCCTGGACCTTCCACCAGACTGGGGCATATCCCCAAGCCACGAAAACCGATACAGACCACCTTCTTCATTTGCATGTCCTGCCCCTGGACAAAAGTCACACAGTTCTGCAGGCGACACCCTCCCTACATTCATACCGCTTGTCCCACCCAAGGCTGCTTTGGAAGCCTCCGGTGGATCTTGTGGCCCTCTCCTGTGCTCTCTGGGAGGCTTCTTCCAAACTCTCCCCTCTCCCCAGCCCCTCCCCAGTCTTCCCCATTTGTCCTGGATCCTGACTCCCTTGCCCTTCTCACCAAGCCAAGCCCCCGCTAACGTGCCCCTCATTTCTCCTCCAGCCCCTGCCTGTGAAACTCAACTCAAACAAACTTTTCTCTTTGACATCTCAGGCTCTCCCTCTCTAGTGGCTTTCCCTTGCGGGTCATCCAACCTCAGATGAACCGCCACTCAACTCTGTCATCTCAAGCGACTCTACCCTCCTTCTTCACTTGAAACACCCCAAGAGGCATGCTTTGTGTTTCCTTCTTCACGATCCATGCATCCTTTAACGCCTTAAAATCTGTCGATGAACCCCCCATGCTCTGAAACCACACCCTGGAAGGCCGTCAGCAGCCTCCTGTTAACCCTTACCCTTTCAGACCTCTTCGCAAGGGCAGTTCGCCTTTCTGGAATCTTCTCCTGCTTGTTTTCCACGACTCTGCTTCCTCCTGCCCACTCAGCTTACTGCCTTCTCTTCCTCCCCCAACCCCAAGGTTCTGCCCTTAGCTTTCCCTGTCCCTTCATTTTTTCCTCAGCAAGGTCATTCTTTGCACAACTTCAGTGGTTACCTCTTTGCGGACGATACTCTTCAGTTTTCCGTGTTCCCTTTAGAGTTCAGATTTCAACAGCCCTCTGAGGGGCTCCGTTTAATCACTTCTTAAGTACCTCAAACTAAATGTATCCAACACCAAGTTCATCATCTTTTCCAACATGCCAACTCCTCTGCCTCACCTCACCATTTTTATGAAGAGTAACAATTCTGGAATCATATTCTCACAGTTGGAAAGAGACATCACTACATAAAAACTTCCCTGTGCCAGGATACAGCAGAAGTCCGAGACCGGCCAGAGACGGCAGGGAGCCTACAGTCTAGCTGGACAGAAAAGACTGCCTGTGAATTATCTGTCAGCCAATTAACAGACACACTAGAATCCAGGAGGCACAAAGGATCTGATAGACAAGAGCCTTCCTTGAATCTGACACAGAGAATGCACTTAGCATGGCCAACAGTACACAATGAATTATAACTATTAATAGCAACATTAATTAACTCTCTCATGGTGCTTTATGGGGGTGGGTTTTAAAATATGCCCACAAATTCTTTGGCAGTCCCTTCAAAAAGTAGAGCCTAATATTCCTCCCATTGAGCGTGGGCAGGATTTAGTGACTTGCTTCTAACAAACACATTAAGGAGTGATGTGTACAATTTCTGAGACTAGGTCATAAAAGACAGGACAGCTCCATCCGGGTCTCTCTCTTGGCTCACCCACTCTGGGGGGAGCCAGCTGCCATGTTGTGAGGACATTCAAGCAGCCATGTTGGGAGGTCCACACAGTGAAGAACTGAGGCTCTGCCAACAGCCAAGTGAGTGGGCCGTCCTGGAGGCAGATCCTCAGGCCTCAGCCAGGTCTTCAGATCACCACCAACTCAGTCAATAGCTTGATTATAACTTCATGAGACTCTGAGCCAGAATCACTCAGCCAAGCTGCTCCTGAATTCCTAACACACAGAAACTGCAAGATGGCAAATAATTACTTTTTTTAGGCTGCTAAGTTTTGGGAGTAATTTGCTACACGGCAATAGAAAACTAAGATGACAGGTGCGCCTGGGTGGCTCGGTCGTTAAGCGTCTGCCTTCGGCTCAGGTCATGATCCCAGGGTCCTGGGATCGAGCCCCACATCGGGCTCCCTTGCTCCACGGGAAGCCTGCTTCTCCCTCTCCCTCTGCCCCTCCACCCTGCTTGTGTTCCCTCTCTCGCTGTGTCTCTGTCAAATAAATAAAATCTTAAAAAAAAAAAAAAGAAAGAAAACTAAAACGACAGGGTACATAGTGTTGTCCATCCACAAAATCAGTGAATCCTCACAACCCGTGTCATAAATGTGTTATCATCTTCATCTTATAGATGAGAGAACACTGAAATTCAGGGTGACCAGCTGGGCATTTACTTACAAAATTATTTACTTATACTTTACTTCTTTCCAAAAGATAGTGAGACCTAGAAGACCCAGTCCCTCACATGAAAGTGGGAGCTCTCCAGCTGGACAGTCACTCAGCAAACACTTTCTGGATACTGACTGAAGCCGGTGCAGTTATAGGCAAGGAGACACAGCGGTGAACCAAGCAGAAATTGCATTCTGGCCAGGGAAGACCATCCAAGAAGACAAAAAAAGAAGTAAATATTTAAGGTGCCCGATGGTACAGTGCTTTGGAGAACATGGGAGCAGGGACGGGGAAAAGAGAGTGCTGGGACTGGGGGGATGTGGTTCTTTGGTGCTGGGGGGCCATGGGAGGGCAGACCTTCCATGGAAGCGATGGGGAGGGAGCTAGGCAGGTTCCCAAGGAGGGAGCTTTCCTGTGGAGGGAGGTCCCTGAGGTGAGACTGTGTGGCTGGAAAGGAGTGGACAAGATGGGCGGAGGGCAGATGAGGTCAGAAAGGTGGGGCCCGAGAGGGGGCCCCTGACAGAACGGGGGTTTTTATGCTGCATGAGGTAGTAAGCCAGTTGGGGGTTTTAAGCAGAGGTAACCGATTTATATTTTTAAAGGATCACTCTGGCTACTGTGCTGAGAACAGATCGTATAGGGTGAGGGACAAGGACGGAGACAAGAACACCAGGCAGGAGGCCACGGCAACTATCAGAGGCGAGGTGACGGGGTCTCTCACCAGACGATGGTGGGAGCAGTGGAGGTGGAAAGGAGTGGTCAGCCTGGGGACAGTATTTTGAAGAAAAGTCAGACGGCATTTACTAATATATCAGAAGAAGGGCTGAGAAAGAGAAGAAGCAAACATGACCCCAAAGTTTTTGGCTTGAGCCACTGGAAGGGTAGCGCTGTCTTCACGGAGACGAGGATGGGGTAGAACAGGTTTCAGGCAGAAGATGGGAGCTCGGTTTGGTCATGTTAAATCTAAGATATTTACCGAGTCCCGCTGCATTAGCAGGTAAGCATGTGAATCTGGCATTGAAGAAGTCTGGGCAAGAGACAGGGAGAGAGTGGGCGGGGGAGACTGCATTTGGAAGCTGACAGGACACAGGCTGCATTTAAAACCCCGAGACTTGAGTGCAATCATGAGGGAGGGAGTGTAGATAATAAGCCAAAGGTCATTACCCAGCCCTGGACCACTCCAAACATAAAAGGTCGGGAAAAGAAGGTGAAGCCCGTGAAGGAGACTGAGCAGGAGCCACTAGGAGATAGGAACAGAATCAGGGGAGGTCACCTGGAAGCCCTGTGAAAAGGTGTCTCAAGGAGGGGGTGGCCACCTGCATGCGATGCCACCTTCAGGGCAGAGAAGATGAAGGGAGAACTGAGTGTGGACATCATGAGGTCGTTGGCAAGACCAACAGGATGGAGAGGTGGGAGCAGAAGCCTGATTGGCAGAGACTCCAGAATGATCCAATCACCACCTTACTGGAATACTGAGAATAGAGGAACACGTTCAATGAGACCGTGGAGGACGCAGCAGCAGAATCCGGACAGTCAGAAACTCAAGAGGATGTGAGGCCTAGTTTCTTCTACAGATGGATTTCAAGGAAAAATGAGAGAGATGAAGGAGGAGCTGACAGATTTAACAAGACTTCAAAGACATAGCCCCCTCTTAAGTTCTGATTCAGACAAACTAATAGAAAACAAATTAAACCATGTTTGGAAGACAAGAACATTTGAACACTGATTGGATACTTGAGTAGGCAGAGGCTTTTATGGCCGTGGTAGCAACACTGAGGTCGTATTTCAGAAAAAGAGTCTCTACCTTCCAGAGCTACACACTGAAATATTACCAGAAAAAAAAAAAAAAAAGAAAGAAAAAAGACTGACACCTGAGATTGGCTTCAAAATAAAACAGGAGGGGATGTGGGTGGGGGCTTTAAAGGAAACAAGACTGGCCAAGAGCCACCAGCTGTGGAAGCTGGATGATGGGTCCATGATGGTTCCTCACACTATTCTATGTACTTGTGTGGATGTCTGAGTTTTCTATAATAAAAAGGTTAAAAAGGACAGGGAGAGAAGGAACTGGACACAGCAAATACATGTTTAAGGAAGTCTGCTTAAAGAGGAGTGGAGAAATGAGGCACTAACTGCAGGGAGAGGTAGAGCCTAGGGAGATTTTCATCACAGAGATGGGTGATGTTCTAGGACATCTAGAACGACCAGTAGGAGAAAGAGTTGATGACACAGAGGAGAATGGGGGGAAGGCAGGTGGGTGGGGGAGTCAGCACAGGGGGGAAGGGTGGGCCGGCGAGGCTGCCGGAACAGGGAAGGCAACAGGCTCGAGGAAGCATCAGGTGGATGAGGGTCATGGCTGAATGTGTGCCTCTTGTGGTAACTCCATGTTCTCGGTAGACCAGAAGGCTGGGTCATCGATTGACAGTACAATGTTGATGATCCAGTGCATAGGAGGGTTGGGGTGGGTGCAGGAGGCGAGGGAATGGGAGGGGGGGAATGGAACATGAATTCTGAGCTGCAAGAAAGGCCGCAGAGGGGATGGTCACAATTTCCTAGCAATTCCAGTTTGCGTGGTTTGTCTCAGCCGCGTTCAAATGAGCATGTACAAAGATAACCAATGACAAATGGTCCTCTGTAGGTGCCAAGTGGAAAACCCAAGCATGACGAGCGGCAGGAGTCTGCAGACACCCAGATACCTCGGGGGTACTGGGAAAGGTGACAGGAAAGCCTGACAGACAGAAGCAGGCAGATTCTGTGGGGAATGGGTGGAGGGCAGCCTCATGGGGGTGGAACATTCATGACTCAGTTATTTAAGTGGAGGCAGGCTTTAAGAGACACTGAAATCAGGGGCACCTGGGGGGCTCAGTCAGTTGAGCGTCCAACTCTTGATTTTGGCTCAGGTCATGATCCATGATCTTGGGGTCATAAGATCGAGCCCCACGTCCAGCTCCACGCTCAGGAGAGTCTGCTTTAGATTCTCTCCCTCTTCCTCTGCCCCTCCCTCCCTGCTCCCCACCCCGTGTACTCTCTCTCTCTCTCTCTCAAAAAACAAAAAGAGAGAGAGAGAAAGACACTGAAGTCATACAAGAGGGAGCCAGAAAATTTTGTGGGAAGGACCGGCCGAATGAAATTGAGAGTTTCGTTGACGTGTGCTGGTCCTCACTTCCATCCCTGTCCCTGGGGACCACCACGTACCTTGGGGACCTCCCCCTTGCTGCCCGGGGGCAGCCTCAGGACCCAGAAGTTCCTGTTCCTCAGCAGGTTCTCCATGTTCTCCAGCCGCCTCTGCAGCAGCCCGTACTCCTGCAGCAGGGTCCCCAGCACGGCCCACTTGCTCTCCATGTGGTTGCCGAACTCCACGGCCGTCTTCTCGCAGTCGGCCAGCTTCTTCTCGGCCGTCCCCGTCCGCCCCTCCAGATTTAGCAGCTGGCTGGCCTGGGCCTCCACCTTCCTTTCCACAGCCTGGATGGCGGCCACCACGGTCCAGAGTGAGATCTCTGCCGTGGGCAGCTGGGGCTCTCTCATCATGCGGTCAGGGAAGACAGGTGCCCTGTCTGGGAAGGGCGGGAACTGGAAAGGCATCGGTCGCCGAGCATCCATGTCCCACTCTTGAGCCTGTGTGCAGGGGGAGAAAGTGACAGTGGGAGGCTGAGAGCCTATGTGAGGCGGGAAGGGGGGCCGGGGAACAGAGAACAACTAATGAGACGCCACAGACTCTCGCCCCTCCACCGTGCCCCCACCCCCCAGGCTACGGTGTTCATTCCTGGCCCCAGCACTAGCTCGAGGAGCCACCCGGCCAACCTTCCCATCAAGATTGGTCACTCGTTTACCCACCTGACCCTTCGTAAGTCAAGGCTGCAGACCCCCGCCTGCAATGTCACCTGCCGCTTTCACAGCGCAGCTGTCTCCTCGGGGGCTAGACCTGATGATGAACTCTCTCTCGAGTCACCTAGTGCCTTCTGATTCAAAGTAAGAATGCTTGCCTAAGTCACCTGACCCTAATCTCCCCTGCAATCTCCAAGCAGGTTAGGGCAAGAATGATGATCTCTGCTTTAATGATGGAATTGAGGCACAGAAATGTGGCTGGTCATTCCACGGCTCCTGGTGTCACTGCCCACGGGAGCAGAGCTAGGTGCTGCGGGTAACAAAAGCACGGTTCAGGTAAGTGCTGCCCCCATACCCGGCAGCTGTGACCAACGGAGACCCCAGAGAGCCCAAGTGAGTGAGCAGACGAGCAGCCTTTTTTCCATATCCAACTCCTGATTCATATTTTCTAAAATGAAAATAGGTTTGCCAAAAAACGTCATTCGCTAAAGAGGGGACATGCCTGAGAGAAGACTTTCCAGTCTGCTTCCTGCCCCTGGAAGGTGAGGCCCCATGGGTCTGCGTTGGGAGCTGAGCCCTGTGACCAAGAGAGGGTGGTCCCAGTTCCCTGGTGACCGGGGAACTGGCTCCACACCGTATACCAGTACCCAGGGCTTCCTGGCCAACAGCAGGGCTGCTAGCCCACTCTCCTTGCCATGTGGGATGGCAGGTGTCATTTTCTTTCCTCCCTGTCGCTGCTGATGAGGCCCTCAGGCTGGGCAAAGCGGAGGCCTGCTGCTGAGAGGCGACGTGGGCAGGCCAGGGACACGCATGCCAACTGCCCTAACTCAGAACAGCTGTGACAGCCGCAGAGGAACACCCCACTGCTTCCAGGGACTTGCTCCGAGATGTGGGCTAATGAGGAGCAGGGCCCTGGGTGCCAGGCCTCGCCAAGTAAGGAGGCCGTGCTTCCATCAAAGCCATCCATCTGAGCTCAGGCAGGCCTCGCTCCTGACGGCCCAGAGGAGACAAGGGCTGACGGTGGAAGTTCAGAGCGTCACCAGGCCCAAACGACTTTTGGAGGGTTTGGAGAGGTAAGGCCGAAAAAGGATCCCACACAGCAACTCCTGGCTAACTGGTCAGAGCCGGTGGAGACGCGGGCTAGAAGCAGAGGGGCTTCTGCAGGGTCAGCCCAGGGTCAGTTCCCACACTCGCCCGGGGAACACGACTCAGCTCTCGATCAACACCACCGCCTCACGTTGTACACAGTACACAACTCCAAAGCACTGACTCTCAAAACTCGGGCGCACACTGAGATCCTTATGAAGCTTCAAGAACTGACGGGTGTCTACTCTCCACCCAGAGACGCCGATTTCACTGGCTGGGGACGAAGTTTGGGCGTCAGGAGTCTTAAAAGCTGCTCAGGTGACTCCAGTGTGTAGCCAAGTTTGCCAACGGCAAAGTCACCTCTCAATGGCCCCCTTCCTCCGTCACACCCGATGCAAAGGAAAAGTGAATGACACGTTATACTTGGTGAGAGATGGCAATACAACATTAATACAAATCTTTTTGTCCAGGTGGCTAGGGTGTGAACCCGATGGGGCACTCCGGTGCGCACACAGCCGGGGCCCGGGCACAAGTGCGCGAAGAGGAGCCCGGGCCGGGGTGCGGGCCGCGGTCACGGCTCCGCTACGTCCCCGCCGCCTTCCCCGCGGGGCCTCCTCCGGGCGCGGGCACCGGGCCCGGGCAGCACGCGGCCTCGGGGCCTGCTGCTCGGCGGCGCGCGCGGGCCGGGCCTGCTCCGGCACCGGGGCCGGGCGCGGGACTCGGGGCCGGGCCTGCTGGGGGCCGCTGCGCCCCGCCTGCCGCGCGAGTCCGCCCGCGCCCCGGCCCACCCCGGGCCTCCGATTCGGCACCCGCACACCGAGAGCCCTCCGGAGCCGACCCCCCCCCCCCCCCCCGCCCCCAGGCGCCCGCAGCCCCGCGCCCGCAACCCCAGCCCCGCAGCCCCGCGCCCCGCCCCCACGGCCAGGCGGCGCGGCCATGGCGCTGGGCGGGGGTGCACCCACCTGCATGGGCGGCATTCCCTCGGCCATTTCCCCGCGCAGCGCCGGCTCCTGGTGGCAGACCTCCTCCGGGGGCAGAGCCTGGGCCCAGCTCCAGCTCCCGCTGTCCAGCCCCAGGCCCTGGATGCCCAGCTGCTGAGGCTGCGGCCGTGTTGACACAAACTGCATCCTGGGAGTGCTGTTCCCCGCTCGGGCCGGCCAGGGAGAAGAAGAACGTTTTCCAGGCGCCTTCCCCCTCGCCGGGGCCGGACAGCTCCATCTACAGCCCGTAGGAGCAAACAGTCCCCTTCGGCGGCGCTCCCCGCCCCTGCGCAGCCAGCTTGCCAGCCAATGGTCTCCGAGCTCCTGCCCGCCTGCGGGGACCGGCGGGGGCCACTTCGGGGCCCAGGCCACTCCCACCGCCGCCCCCAAAGTGGCCCTGTGAGGATATGCTCGTCAGAGCCCTCCGTGTGAGATGACCTGCCCCAAGGTCCCAAACAATGCCAGGTCCCGATTTCTGTTAATTCTGCAAATATGTATTGGGCTATCCCAAAGGAAAATGGTGCCTGTCCCTTTTGAAAAATTTTCTAGACTGTGTCTGCGGACTCTGTTTCTGGCCTTTGCCCTTCCCTCACGCCTTTGCAGGCTTGACCTCCCACTCTCCCTACCCAGTCCAAATTTACCGGGACCAATTCCAGGCCTTCACATTGGTCTGGACGCTACAGAAGGGATCTGGGCTAATGTGTCAGAAGAGGGCCGAACTCTTCCTCCCAGGTAAGGCATACCACGTTTCAAGAGCAGCCTCTTCCAAAACCTATAAATGTAGGTCAACATCACTTTGAAACATCAAGCCAAATCAGAGGAAGAACCAGGGGAAGGCCCGGGTAGGCTGATGCAGAAGATGGGGTGAGGGTGGGGAAATTCACTCATTCATTCCACAAATATTTACTGAGCAGCTACTATGTGCCAGGTACCACTTAGATGGTGGGCTTTGCATTTGCATATACCTGAATTTAAGTTCCAAAATCACAGCACTCTAGCTGTGACTGAGCAATTTAACTTCTGAGCTTCCCTCAGTCTCTCCAAATAGAAATGAAGCAAGTAATGTCTACTCCACAGTTGTACAATCAAATGAGATGAGATCAGTGCTTAGCACATAGCAGGCATCCAACAAAGGTAGTTACTTCCCAAAGATAAGTCTTACAATTATCCTTAAAATTGTATCTACTTTGTTTTCCTAAATGACTGGTTCCTATCTTCTTAAGACAGAGATCTCCAGAGCTACTTACTGCCCTGTGTAGAGGAAAACCTGCCACACAATCACCCCAGATGGGTACCCTTTTTCCCACTGCACTTAGTAAAATAAAAGGCATTATCCCCCCAAGTGAGACATGTGCTTAGAGCAACATATTCAGAACAATTATCAAGTGCTTTCTCTGTTAGGCATCCTTCCTGGATACAGAATGAGTATCTTGTGAACCGTCTTATCCTCAAGGAGCTTACAGGCTGGTGAGGGTTATGTTCCCAGAAGCTAGTGATCTCCTTCCCTCCATTCCCTGGCCACAGGCTGTCCCTTATTTGTAAATATCATGTCCACTGTTGTTAGGGGAACCAGATAGGAAGTCTGTAAAGTTCCAGGTAAATTCATTTCCATGAGCGAGACACATCAGAGCACATATTCTGACCTACCAATCATCAATCATCCCGCTTTCCTAACGGTGGGAGAGGCTGGGTTAGCCCCAAAGGTTTAAGCCATCTCTTCAGTAAAAAGCAGTTAAAACTACTCCCCTTAAGCATTAAACTAGTTATAATACTAGTTATAATAACTGGCTTACACAATAAGTCACCATCATAGTATATCCGCTGCATGTTTCTCCCTTCACAGAGGGCGGATTTTCACAAAGCCAGTCACACTTGAAACCCCTGCAGCCAGAGTGGCTGCCCAGGGCCAGAGGCTCTGTTCACTGCCATGACATGCGCAAAGCAACTCAACTCAAACAGCATTTAAATGCACAGTTGCATTGTACTAGCATGGTTTTATAACTGCCATGCCTAGCAACCATAGGCCACAAAAGCGGGTTAGTGGCCGCAGCAGGGGGGATGTGAATGGGGGGATTAGGGGACAGCTCCCAGAAGGAAAACAAGAAGGGTGTGGGGAGGGGGTTGTTGTAGGTGCACTGGCCGTGGACCCTCTGATGGGTACTCCAGTGACCGATGGACTGGTGGGGCTGGGAGCTGTGCCAGGGAGGGAGAGAGCCCGTCCTGGGAGAGCTGCCGGGTCGCCAGGCTCGTTTCTCTGAATCACTGGGTAATTGTGAGGCAGTTATCTGAATTACTGAGGAGCAGAGTCAGCAGCTGGGTAATGTGGATTATAAGATGTCAAGGATCATTGTTAATAAACATCTCCTGAAAGGGAAGGACCCAGGACTGCCCCTCCATGCCTCAGGCGGGAGCTGCTTTTCATCTCCTCACCAGGGATTCTATAGCTAAGGCTCTGGACAGGGTATTTGAAGTGATGGATGCTGAACCAGAGGATGTGAGAGAGGCCAAAGGAGAGGGGGATGCAGAGATGCCAGAACATTTAATGTGTCGTGGTTAATTTTATGCATCAATTTGACTGGGCCAAGGGATGACCAGTTGGCTGGTAGAACACTTTTCTGGGTGTGTCTGTGAGGGTGTTTCCTGAAGAAATTAGCATTTGAATCGGTAGGCTGGAGAAGGTGCCCTCACAAATGTGAGCATCATCCAATCCCTTGAGGGCCTGAATAGAACAAAAAGGCCAAGGAGGGGCAGACTGGCTCCTCCCTGGAGCTGAGACATCTATCTCCTCCTGCCTTCGGATGCCGACGGTCCTGGTTCTGGGGCCTTTGGACTCCGAATCAATTACACCACTGGCTTTCCTCCTTCCCCAGCTTGCAAATGGCAGACCATGGAACTTCTTGACCTCCATAATTACATGAGCTAATTCCTAGAATAAATCTCCTTTCATATACCTCTGTATATCCTTTTAGTTGTTTCTCTGGAGAACCCCAATACATGTGTCCATCGTTTCTTAAGTCTTCCTGGTGCTCCCATGCACTCCATGCCCCACCAACAACTGTAAGCTTTATCTGAGAAAGAAAACCTCCAGATCCACTCAGCTGAGTGAACAGGGTAACCAGGTTAGCACTGCTATCTTGGTGTCTCCTATGCCTAATTTAACAAGCAGGCTTAATAAGGACAACGATGTAATCCATAGGAAGGACAAAGGAGAGCAGCTTCAGCTCCCCTCACCCACTGGCATGTCTGTGGTTCCAACTTCCTGTCTTCACTTGAGGATCTAAGTTATGTCAACCTCTAAAGGAAGGGTAACCTGTAGGTGGCCAAGTCACTGGAAACCTAAGTGTGACTACAAATCAGAGGCAGGGCTTATGGAGGAGGGAGAAAGTGTTGATGTGGGGATCACAGTACAATATTTTGTTATCACACAGTTTTTAGGTCAGTTTGCTCTTGCTAATGAGTTTTCAACATGCTTGCCTTTTCAGATCCACCTGTTGCCAACATTTTTATTCAAACTTAAGTGTGCATGTGCATGTACATATGCACCCGCACACGTACATTTTCCCTCTTTCCCACTAACCTCTGAAAATTCCTGCTTTTCAGAAAGTTTAGAGAAAATACTACTTTTTCCCTCCTGAGTTTATTCTCAGCCTACTTTAATAGGCATTTCATCACCTTTTTTACAAGTCTTGACACAGCAGACAAGTGAAGTTAGTTGGCTTTTCTTCAGTTCTTAATGACTGTGTGGTACTTTGCTCAATCTTAATAAACATGTAATTGCTTGAGTGACTAAGCGAGTTAGCTACTCAAGAGTTCTACCGCAATGGGTACCTGGGGCTTAGAAACCCTGTATGTGCAGACAGGTTTTGTGTTGGGAATTAACAATTGCACTATGATCCCTCAAATCTTCTCAATGGGTATCCCTTCGATTTTTAAGTGTGGATTTGATTACTAAAAATGGCCAAAATTCATTCAAAATGAAGTCCGGAGCACATACAGAATAATACTGGTTTTTCTAAATGCAACAAATAGGGTGTGAAACCCCATGTTATTGTTAAATCCAAGCTGGTAATGACATCACCACGGTCCCTCTTCATTCTTCAGCAAACTGCTAGCGTCACTACAATAGAAGTCAAGGTACAGCGCAGGCATCTGTACAGCTCCCGTCTGTGCACATCCAGGATCCTGCCCGTGTTTCATAGACCAGGTCTCTGGACAGTGCCTGCAGTGGGCACAGCTGAACTGAATGCTGCTTTTCCCACAGCCTCTAGAGGTCCTAACCTAACTACGGAGATCAGTCAGAACTTTTTCAACAGCAATTCTCATAGCTTTATTTCCTACTAAATTATGACGTCCCATTGTGGATTCATCTGCCTTTTATTAATCTCCAGTCCACAGCCCCCTGCTCCAGTAAAGCAGGCTAACTGGTCACTTCCAGGCCAATAACTCACTTTCTCATTCTCTGATCTTCTAAACTTGCAGGCCCATTAGAATCACGTGGGGGAACTTAAAAAAAACAAAATGCCCAGGCTCCGCCCCAGGCAAATTAGATCATGCCAGGGTGGGCCCTGGCATAAATATTTTTCTTTAAGTTCCCCAAGTGATTCTAATGTTCAGCCAAGAACCCTCCCCATGTGCTTGTTCCAGCCTCACAGGATCGCCATGCAGAAATGAACATCCTGAATAATTACTTAGTGGCTGTTAAATATAGGATTGATTTAATAATTGTGCATTGTTTTTATCTTGCTGTTTACTCAGTGAGGTTGGCTTGTAGATATTGTTTCTCTTACACAATTTTTTAAAACTATAATTCAAAGCCAAGAACTGACATATATATATATATATACACACACACACTGCTTTCTGTACTTTCTACTTGCTTAACCCAATCTCTCCAGTAACACGCCTGCCTTCTTAACTTGTTATAATTCCGCAGGTACATAAAACTGGTTATCTTGCATAATAAGTTGTTGGTAGAAGACAACGCGTTAAATAGGTCGACCTGACACTTCCGGCAGCACTTTGTTTTCGATCTCTGCTCACACATACTGCTGTTGTCCTATCCCTCCCCAAATGGTAATCTAGGGCTAGCTTCTCCCCAGCCCAGGCAAGCAAACTAGAAGCAAAGGAAGGACCACTGCCCAGTCTTGAATGAAGAGAAGCACCAACAACATCCAGGAAATTGTTCAACCGGTCAACAATTCTGCGTTGACTATGTCAACACTTTCACAGGCCTGCGATACGTTTCAAAGCACTTCTGAAGACCTCTCCTCATTTGAGCGTCCCAATGCCTATATAAAGTTGGTCAAGTGGGTATTATCCTCATG